TTTATCAAACCCGTCGGAGGAGATGCGGTTGTAGTATGTTTTGTGCCGGGGGCCTTCACTCCTCCCTTGCGTCCCCACTGTTGCGTAACATCTGTTACGTAGCGGTGGTATGACCGGCTATAACTAGCTCAGACAAGCTAAGACCAACTTAGGCAAGCTAAGACCAGCTTAGACCAACGGCCCGAGTGGAAACACTCTGGTCCCCACGTTAAAACCCGACCTTGTGTCACTACCTGATTCAGTAGCGGGTCAAGGTAAATCTCGGGCTCGAACAGTGCTACGAATTAATTATTTACCAGTAACCACCTGATGAAACTATAAGGTAGTGTTAAGTGTGAATTTTTACTAATCTTATACATATATGTGTGTGTGTGTGTGTGGCGTGCGTATATATAAACACGTTCAATTTTTCAAATTTGTGTACTGAACACTTAAAAAATATCCGTTCACTAATCTAACATTGTTCTGCCCAACAACTTTATTATATATATATATATATATATATATATATATATATATATATATAGAGAGAGAGAGAGGGGGACAGAGACAGAGACAGATAGATAGAGGGAGAGAGATTAATAGTAGTACTCGTTGGTAAAATCTCGGATAGCTCAACTTGTAGATATGTCAGGACAAATCGGTAACCGAGGAAAAAATTGGAAAAAAAAAAAAAAGAAAGTACTAAAAACATCAGAACAAGACGAAACAAATCGCCAAGTGCTTTAAATCCTTAATCCAAAGCCCAAATGACTAGAAGGACTAAAACGTAGAGTGCTCAATACGCTAAGTAGAGCGATAAACTAGAATAAATCCTTAGGAGCCAGGCAAACTTACTATTGTGAGACCGGAAACTACCTACACAATAGACTCTTCCAGGCCTATATTAAGTAGGCGACATAACACTTTAGAGAGTGACACAGAGAGATAGTGACAGTCTAGTACGACTACCAGTGTCGGACACTAACATATAGTAAGCTCGGCTTACACTATCTCTGTAACCTGTTGTTAATATATCGTTCTTACATCTAATCCGTGTTCCGTGTTTTCCTTCTGTGGTCCCAACTTTGGCCCCACATCACTTACCTAGGTTTCACCTAAACGGATCTTCAAGGTAAACTGGCCAGTTTACCCTGAAGATCCGTTTAGGTGAAACCTAGGTAAGTTTGCCTAACTCCTTAGAATTTATTCTAGATATAGATAGATAGATAGATAGATAGATAGATAGATAGATAGATAGATAGATAGATAGATAGATAGATAGATAGATGACTGACTGACTCTATCGATAAAAATATCATAGCGGACGAAACAAGTTACTTAAAAATAATTTTCGTTTTTGTCATTCGATTACCCACCGGGGATATATATTTATAGAGAGATATTTTCAGCGATATATTTATCATATGTACTGACCATAATTGACAGGGTGAGCAGCACGGATCTGAAAGGAAGCATAATCCTCTAGCGAGACTCGAGCTCGCAGCTGATTAAAGAAATAATGATGAAAGAAATGAGCCAGCATTAATCAATCCCAAAGTCGGTCTTCAGTCGAAGAAGATGATGATGCGTATCTGCTGAGATTGGAAGTGCGTTATGTATTACAAGCCTCTTCCGCAAAATCAGACGTTCGATTCAGACAAGTATTGTCCCTAATTGAACTGATAAAGGCGGTAATCGATGAAAAACGCCCGGAAATGGCCAGACGAAAGCGTCTCGTTTTCCATCATGACAACATCAGACATCATGTCTCTATGCCGACCTGACAGAAATTGGAACAGCTTGACTTATATCTACACTCTCCGTACGCACTTGAGCTTGCACCTGCGAAGTATAACTTATTTCGATCGCTACAAAATTCTCTTAAATGGGAAGAACTTCAATTTTATGTAAGCTTGTAAAAACAAAAAAAAAAACAGTTTATTACTCAGAAAGATGCCAAGTTCTTGGAGGGTGGAATCATGAAGCTTATGCAAAGATAGCGATATATAGTGTAACAAAATGGAAGATACGCGATTGAATAAATCCATGTACAAATATCTAAATCCTCTCTTTCAAATTCACTTAAAAATGCTACGAACTTTCGTTTCGATCCAATACTACACAAAAATTAACATAAAGTTTTGATCTTGAACAAAAGTTCATAAAAACACAAAGAATATGTAATATCACACACAAATATGTAAGCATAAATTACCTGAAAGATAAAAATAAAAGTCGTTAGATTTGCCATATGAAAAATATCTCCTTTTTCCTATCCACAATTAAAAAAATACTTTGCGCATGCGTGGTTTTTTATCATCGTTGGCCATATCCTTTCTGCAATTTATCTGACAAATTGACAGAAGATAAAATCTAAACAAACTTAGCCATACGGAAGACAGAGAAAATCTTTAGTTATTCGAGATATACGAAGATAATCTCCATATTCGTCTCGGAATCAAATTCTCGAACATGTTATTAGCTTATATTGGTGCATTCTTAAATTAAAATCTAAAACGTGTCAATAAAATTATTTCACACACAATCTTAGGCATACTGCAACTTTTCGATCGACCAGTAAACAAACAGAAAAAAATTCCTTTATTTATTTATGCCACGGGTCGTTTAATTTAGGTCACCATTACATTTTGCGTTCAGTTATTGTTGATTATTGATTTGGATTGCTTGGTCAAACACTATCTTCTTTGCATTTGTTGTGGGTAACCTTTTAGAGTATATGTAGAATTATATGTATCATTTAATGTGTAGTGACAGACTACCAAGATATATGCCCAATATCAAGTCCCTAAAAATACAATTTGTATTATTATAGATCAATGAAGGTATAGATAGATTATTAACGCCATTTTAAGTTGAAAAAGTAATTAAGTCAGTTCATTAATTTTGCTAGATGTCTTTGTTGATTTCGTTCCCATGCAGTCACTTAACAGACTCGGAGATTACATTCGTTAGATTCTTTGAATATCAATAAGCATTAGGAATTAGATAAATTTATTAAATTATTAAATCCATCTTCTTTATGTGCAGTGTTCTTTCAGTACATGCATGATCACGACTCTCCATAACTTCCTGTCCTTTGTAGAAATGTTTGCTTTTTTACCGTTCTTCTCACTCCCTGACCAGACATCAATTTACACAAGCTCCTTAGATAGGTTACTTGCTATTTCCATCTGTCTCTCTTACCTTCAATATGCCCTGTGAGTGTCATATTCTCCAAGCTTCCTTTCCTCCTTGTGTCCCAAAAATATTTTCTTTTTTTCTTAATGTAAGTACTGGGGTTGGTTAAAATGTTCGTTCACTTATTAAGCAGAAAATATAGTTAATAAACAGAACGATTTGGGGGGGGGGCAGCACAATATAAATGTCCTCTTTGTTTCCATTTTTCTTAAAACTTTCTCGTTGCTTAAATACTCCGTCCATGATATTCTCAGAATCCTTCTGTAGAATGACATCTCTGTCGTCCGAAGTCTTCTCTTCCTCTACGAGGAAATTATTCAACATCCATTGCCATATAAACATATTAACATTACATAAACGATCCCCGAAGTTAAGGGTTAATTAGTAAGACTTGTATCACAAGAACATTATTATCTTTAAAAAAAAAAGAAAACTTTTACAAGGACAATTCTTACATGGACCAATGGATAAAAGCGTTGGTTGAAGTAATCCAGTGACTTGGCCTAAAGAGTTGTAAGTTCAATACCTGGCCACAGCAGAGGTGTAAAAAAACTTGGCGAGTTGTGTAACTAATGTGAAATAACTGAAACTTTAATACCCAGAAAAAGGCGCGTGAGACTAGAACAATCTACTACAGTGGACTAAATAAAGGGTTCGGTTTGAAATTCTAACGTATGTCACCTGAGGAAGGCCGCAACGTACAACGGCTGAAACATCGTGAATATGACAATAAAGACAACAGACTGATCAATGTAAATAGTTTAAATCGTTACAATACTCCATACCAGAAATATAGACCAACATCTAAAAATATTTTTTGGTTTTAAATAATGTGCAAAGTTTGATAAGCCTTGGAAAACGAATCAATCAATTTGTGAGAACAAAATTAAAGAAAATGAGGATTTTTGTTGAAAAAATTCATTAAGTGGCTTTAACTTTTGATTAATAGTAAAAGTTGCGTTTTTATTAATTACCCGTTTATATTCCGTATTGACCATACTTTCTACACAAACTCAACCTAATTAAATTGTTTGTTTGTTGCTAGCATAACTAGGACAGCAGCTTAATTGAAATAAATTATTTTACTTCCACTGTACGACAATTAACCGAAATCTGCTGCAAAATGAAATGATATGCTGTAGCTTTGTATAATGAGTGTTCTTTATTTCATCCACAAAATCCTTATATTTGGCATTTAAAAGATTATATGAACACAAAAAGTGATATTTTACAAAACAATACATCAAATGCGTTGGTTGCCCACCGTAACGAGACTGACCACAATTTTGGCATAAAAAATGCTACTTTAATCAAAGGAGAAAACAATTCACTACGACGAAAATGTCTAGAAAGTGTCTTGATCACATGGTCATCTATAGTAAATTTGTATTCGTGCTTTTACAGTATTTCACCATTACTGGCAAAACTTTTATTATCACAGTGTGGGATATGTAGTAACAAAAGTGATGGAAAGAAAAAGAATCGAAATGAAATCGGCTAGATATAAAAAATAAAAAAAAATTAAAATTCCCAGCATCCCACGTTCGTGCCCATGTGTAGTCGCACCAACATAACAAATTTTTTATCCGAAGAAATCCTAAAGGACGTAACGCGTAACAAGAATTTTTTTTTCCTCTTTGTCATACATTTTTCTGCAATATTTTTCTTGATTTATAAAAATATATATCGTTATATCGTAATCCATCTAATTAAAGAGAAGAGTATGTATAGTGTGTGTGTGTGTGTGTGTGTGTGTGTGTGTGTGTGTGTGTGTGTGTGTGTGTGTGTGTCTGTAGATTTGGTTCTTATTTACCTATTTTATACACTGGTTCTAATATGATCGCCGAAGTTAAGCAACGTCGAGCCTGGTTAGTACTTACATGGATGACCTCTTAGGAATACCAGATGCTGTAAGTTTGGATGTGCTGATGGTGAAATTGATAATGCCCAGAATTGTTAATCGGAGAGTCGAGTTTCAATTCCCGTTGTGTTTGTTGTATTCACTTACGCGCAAATACACTTTGAAAAGGTATGAATCTGCCTCTTTTCCCTCCAGCTGTGGGTTAATTAGTAAGACTTGTATCACTAAATAATTATTACTTTCCCCAAAACTTCTTACAATCTAAAAATATTTTCTGGCTTTAAATAACCTGAAAAGAGTTGATAAGTCGTAGAAAATGAATCCGTCAATCGATCAAAATCTGTTTTATTGTTTGTCATAAATGGTCAGCTTCTGATTTCAATAAAATGCTGATATGGCGAATTTTGCTGTCCAATATGTTTTGTTTTTGTTTTGTTTTTCTTTCTAATGGGTGATCCGGAAATTACTTTTCCCATTTTTCTAAGTTCTTCAGTTGATGACAGAATTTGTATACGAAGGTTAATAAAATATTGTGGGACGTTCTGACTATTCTATGCGTATTTCGTGGGATAACTTTTCTTTCGCTGCATTTTAGTAAAAAATAGAATGCTAAAAAGGTGGGATTGGAAAATTTAACACTCACGGGACATATTGAAGACAAGAGAATAAGGAAGAACCAACGAGCTTATGCAAATGGATGGCAAACTGTGAACAAGAAGGTTTAGTAAGGGTTCAAATATTTCTTAATGCTACAATGGATATGAAGTCGTGGAGAGCCAGGATCACCCACACCCTGAAGGAACATGGCACATAAAAGAAGAGCTAGCCGTTTATACCTTTTAATGTGCTAAATGGAAAAAGATGAAAAGAATTTTAAATGTTCTTTTGAATCCAGGGGCAAAATCTGATTTATATGTGACTGTTTAGGTCAGTGGTTCCCAAACGGTGCGGTGTGCTTCATAGGTGCGACGGAAGTGGATAGCAGGTGAGGCAGAATGATTAAAAGACAATCAAAGATTTAGAAACAGTTTCAGAAAATTCATATACCAAAAATAAATGATGTCAAATATTATGATGAATTACTTGTAATTGCATACATGAGTCCCAGTATAAATAGTTATAAATAATTATTAACCGATTTTATCAATATTAAGAATATGGTAACAAGGGTCCGCAAATTGGAGGAGAGAGTTATCAATTATAATGTTGACTTCGAATCCGTGCTTATCTCTCTTTAACCCTCTCTTTGTTTTTTCTTTGTTGTTGTTTTTATTTTTTTTAAATGTACATTTTATCATAGAAAATTTGGTTAGACTCGAACAAATTTTCATTCCGAAAATGCTGCGCAGAAAAAAAAAGTTTGAGGACCACTGATTTAGGTGATAGAAAGCTTAAAGTAATCTTCAGATTCAAGCAACGATACGTTGAACTTTGAAACGCTTGAAGTTAAAGAAATTATATCTTGATAATTCTAGCTCTCCCTACAAAATTCTTTGAACATTAAGTAAAAATATTTATGCCCTGTTTTTATCGTTGGATTACTTACTTCTATTGCACGATAAAATATTGCATCCAGATTTTGAAATTTGTTCCATAAAACTTTCTATATCATTAATCGGGAATTTTATGTTCAAAATTACATACAGTATTTACATTAGTCGGACTATTATCCTCATCTTTGTCGCCATATTTGTCACAACATTTCGGCCGTTGTACGCTCCGGCCTTCTTCAGGTGGTTGGAACTTCGAACTGAACCCTTTATTTCGATCACTGGGGTAGACTGTTCTAGTTCCACGTGCCATGTTTGATGGATGTCAGTTATCTCCTGCTAATTTTCCCTCTGAAAGTTCTCCACTGCCTTAACCGGGTATTGAATTCACCTTCTTTGGGTCTGTCACTGGATCTAACCAACGCCTTTATCCACTGTGCCATGTGTCCTTGAGGACATCTGGGTATGAACTTCTGAGTATTATAAACCTAATGTTTTCAGCATCATTTTTTTTTACCAGTGCTCATATTGCAATTTTGCTGTTATCATTGCATGTCTTTACCAGAGTTCATATTGCAACTTTGTTATCATGATATGATTTCTCTGGCACTCTGGAAATCTAAATATATATTAAATGGACAATGTTTAACTAGCAACCCTGGAAACAGTACCGAAGTTGAAGGACTTTCTACCACTAATTATATTGGCTCGGCTGAAATTATAAAATATAAAAAAAATAAAAAATATTTATATAAAAAAATATTTATATAAAATATAAAAAATATAATATTATTATTAATTTAACATTATTTATATTGAATAAAAATTGTAAAAGCACTGCTCTGTCTTGGTACATCTGGGAAATTTCAGATGAACATAATATTTATCCAAAGGTACGACGGAATATTAAGATTTTTAGGAGTAGATAGATTCGCCTATCGTCCGGTTCACAGACCTCCCCGTTTTTTGTTTTTTTGTTTGTTTTTAATAGAAGTAGTAGTTTATCCCTGGTTTACCAGTTCCTTCTAAAGCCTGCTTCAGCTCTATACTCATAACGATTGCTTTTTTCTACGCTAATATAACTTCAAACAGTAACCCTCTGTTTTGAGTGGTTCTTGGTCCTTGTATTAGTTGAACATTAGCAAAAAATAAAATAAAAATTGTGCCAAGAAGAAAAGTCGGTTGTTACCGAATCCAAATTTGTTACTGAATAAAAGAGAGGAAGTAATGGCGAGATGTATAAATGACAAAAAGTTGTTTTTTTAATCATATCACCCAATGCAAGGCAGTAAGGCCACTAAGACACAAGAGGGTGAAAGAATCATAAAAAAGAGAAACATTATTAAGGAACGAGAACAATAGAAGTGTAATCAAGAAGACATTAGATAAGAATTTGCATTGCATTTAAATTTTTGAAGATCAAAGTTAGCTGGAAAGCATGGAGCCAAAAGAGAGTTCCACAAGCGAGAAGTGTAAGAAAAAAAAATTAGCCTAGAACTTAGGGTTACATCTCAACTTTTAATTGGTACTGCGCTTAAATTCTTAAAGTCTACGTACCATATTGGAAAGTTCATCCGAACAATTATTATGAAAGTATTTATAGAAAAAGGCACAGGGAAGCTACAACGGTGGTAAAGCGGCTGAAGCCGAGATGTCATTTTAGCACCAATAATATTGCTGATACTTCTTTAGATTTTTATCCAGAATCTCTAAATATGCAGCAGGGGCACTGGGCCATATGTGACAGCAATATTCAATTTTACTGGAAAATGTGGACACCGGGCGTAGAAAATAAAACAAGAAATAAAATTTTGTTTTTATGATATGACAATTTCAAAGTTTTCATGGTAATTTCATGCTAAAGTCGTTAAAATACACACACACATACACACACACAGATATATATATATATATATATATATATATATATATATATATGGTGTTGTTTTCTGTGTTTTATGACAATGATTGTGTAAAAATTGTGAAAGGTTCTCGTCGCAAACAAATTTCCCACAATCAATATTATATTTGGTCTTTGAAATACTGATTTTACAAAGTGGGGCGAGCTCAGAATTTTATCACACTCCCTCGTATGTGATTATTTCAATGCAATTTTTTTTTATGACGTATACGTTGTTAATATCAAATAACTATGATGTCGACTTCGCTAATGCTTTATGGCGAGGAAAGGAAAAGCGTGAAATATAAAAATTGTAATTGTAGATGAGATTTTAAATCTCCAGGTAAAAACCTGTTTTGTTAAGATTAATTTGATCGCTATAAACTGAATTATTTATATAAAAAAATGTCTTTCTTCTAAAAAGAATTGTGGTTTTTAAAAGCGTATCGTAATGTGGTTGGTGACTAACAGTGATTTATTTCCAGAGTGGAAAATATAAAATACTAACTCTCTAAAGTTATCAAAGAGGTGTACAAAAGATGACCAAGCGAAGAATTATAATCAGGGCCAGATTGAGGCCAATGGCAAAATAAATTTAGGCGCCCCTTCCTTGTTTGCTGCCCCGTGTCTTAAAAAAAGCATATATTTTTAGACGATGCTTTTTTGGTGTAAAACATGAACTATTTCAAATGAAATTATTTAATGATTTTGGAACTTATCAGTTTATTTCATAAGCAACTTTATGATATTTTTATACGAACTTTACATCCTACAGAAATCTATCTAGAATGAAGGGCCTGTGTTACACTGAAATCTTAGTATTCATATTCACTAGCAAAAAATCCTAATAAAACAAAGATGATGGAGAAGGAAAATTCTGGCTACAGCCTTGAGATCCGAGAACACCACAGCTGAAATACATTTAATTATATTTATTGTTAAAATTGTCAACTTCAAATTCTAATTCATGGAGATTAGGTAGAAAATAGCAGATTCTTGGATTGTATCACATTGTAATGAAAGATAATGACATTAATTTTTTTATTTTAGTTATATCAGGGGCACCCCTCTAGTCTTGTAGAAGTAGTGGTGTGCCATGGGCAAAAGAGCCTGACAGTGCCCAACACTCTCTAGGATAGTTGGAATTCAGAGTTTTCCATCTCCAAGACTGGTAGCTAACCAATGCTATAGAAATCCAGTCTACAGCTGAGAGTGAGGGAGAAGAGATGGATTAATAACTTTCTCAAGTTTATTTGCTCATAAGTGAATATAATGAACTCGACTGGAATTCGAACTCGGTTATCTGTTAAAATTTATTAATCCCCTCTTTAACATTTCAAGCTGCTATCCATTAAACCACTGCACACCCAGAACCTATTACTACAACAGTATTAACCAGGGAGTTTATTATTAACCATCACTAGATAACCCAACCGTGTACTTTTCATAAGATTTATTTTTAATATTCTAAATTATATGATTGCTGGTGAAATTGCCACATTTATATTATTTTCTAAGATTATTTTGTATAACGACGAAATTATATATGAAAAATAGATAAATAAAAAAAAATAGCAACAAATAAAACATTTTAAGTTTAATATTGTCATGCTATAACATTTACAATATTTAGATGCTACTACGCTGTTAACGGCCTTTAGCT